CCCCCCTCTTCCTTCCCACTCCCCCTCGATTCTCCTCCCTTCCTTCCCTCTCCTCTCTCCTTTCCCTTCCCTGCCCTGCTGTCTCTTCTCGTCCCCTCTCCTCTCACTTCCCCTTCCTCCTCTCCTTTCTCCTCCTCTATTCTCCTCCCCTTCCCTCGATTCTTCTCTTCACTCTTCTCTTCTCCTTTCCTCTCCATCTCCTCTCCTCCCCTCCTCTTTTTCTCTCTTTTCTCTTCATCTCTCGCTTTTCTTCTCACCTCCTTAGCTCTCATGGGTTCAGTTAAATCTCCTTGCAGATGACTCCCACATCTACATGCCCAGCCCTGATCTCTCCCTTGATTGCCAGTTCTGCTGGATTTCCTCAACTTATCCTATTATCCTATGGGCATTTCCACTTCCACACATCTTAAACAGAACCCATAGTATTTTGGTCAAACTTGACCTCTCTTCTAGCTTCCCCACATTTGTTGAGGGAACCGCTATCCTTCCATAACCCAGATTTGTAACCTTAGAGTCACCCTTTAATCATCACCTGTTCTTCATTACCCTCCATCCAGTCAGTCAGTTACCAAGTCTTGTTGATTGTACCTCCTCCCCAACATCTCTCCCATTCCTTTCTCTCCTGCCCTGTATCAAGCCCTTAGTGCCTCTCCTTTAAACTAGTGCAACAACCTCCTAATTGGCCTCCAATTTCCAGGCTCTTCCATCTCAATCTGTCTTCTGCCCTTAAGCCAAAACCTAAAATCCTAAACCTAGCTCTGACCCTGTCACTTCCTTATGCAAAAATCCACAAGAGCTTCTTAGTGGCTCTAGGATGAAATGCAAAATCTTCAGGCCTGATGTTTTAAAGTCCCCCCCCCCATGACTCTTACCTACCTTTCTACTTTTATTTCACATTACTTTTCATCATTTCTCTGTTCCAGTCATACTAACTGACTCCTTGTTCTCCATACAGGACATTTCCCACTTCCTTTGCACAGGGGGTCCTCTGTATCTGGTTCCCCTGCATCTTCCTCCTCACTTCCACCTTGTCAAATCCCTAGCATCCTTCAAAGCTTGGCTTAGCAGTCTATCCTGATCCCTTCTGTTATTAACACACTCTCTCTTGAAATTAATTTGTATTTACTTGCTTATATACATGCTTTGTCCCCTCAGTAGAATGTCAGCTCTTTTGAGAAAAGACATTGGTTTTTGTCATTATGTTCCGAATGCCTTAACAAAGTACATTCAACATAGTACGAACTTAATAAATATTTGTTGAATTTATTAGAAGGATAGTGACTTATGGGGGATGGTTATACAAGATATGGAAACATTGGGAAACAATGTGAAAGGGTAGAAAGAGCACAAGATTTGGAGTTGAGGACAGTATTTCAGATCTCATCGCTGACCCATCTTGTGTGACCACAGCACATGTCCCTCCCCCTCCTTCTCTGAGTCTTCAGTGCTTCCTCTGAAAAATGAGGGAGTTGTACTAGATGTCCTCTAAGGTTGTTTGCAGCTATAGGTCTGTGATTTTATGTAACAAAGGGGTATGAGAAAGAAGATATAAGGGTGGGAATAGAGGAAAGAGACAGGGCATGAAGGGATGGTAACATGGGGTGGGCAAGCTGAGAATGAACAATGAAAGAACTTGGGGGATGGGAAAATGAACACAGGGAATGGGGAAATGGGATATAGAGGATAGGGACACAATGAGTTCTGTATACAAGTAGTGTGGAAATGGGGGAGTCAAGTAATTTAAGAAGGCGAGGGATAGGATTATGGGGAAAATGAAGGGAAGGGATACTGGACCTAGAGCAGATAGAGAGGATGTTGTAAATGACTCCATGTAAACATGATTGCAAATATGTACCAATTTTCCTTTTACCTACATGATGGGAATTTTTATTTCCTTTTAGGTAAAGGATCATCTTGAAAAAAAGCCATTTGCCTCTGAAGGTGTCTGTACCATAAAGGAAAAGCCAGTTCCAAATCCACCATATGTAATGAAACATTGACATGTGATGGTAACAGCAGATCTTTGGATACACTTGGGTTGAGTTGTTTCAAGAGCTTATTTAATTTCAGGTTGTAAAATGTACTTGTTTTTTAGTGAGACCAGATACATCCTTGGAAATAAGATAACTTAGGATGAGTTTCAACATTACTTAAGGTACTGACCAATCTGGAGATGAGATTCATTGCCTCTTATATATTTAACAGTGTTCGTAATACATTGTATACCATTATAGCAAAAAGATTGTGGCTAGGGCTCAGTTATTTTGATACATCGTATTTCTTGCATGTAGATAGGTCTGTGATGTTAACAACAATCTGTAGCTGCTTTTTCTTAGAAAGGACAAACTCCGTCCCATTTTTCACTCTCATGATCCAGCCCTTGTCATGGGGATATTTGTCTACAAGAAGGTGTAGCCATACTTGCAAGTGGCTTTTAAACACAGATAAACAATAACCTTCAAGCCCAAGAATCCAGGATGCTGATTACCTGGTTTCGTGAAATAAGTGAATGAATGGTCTTTGGTACTTGTGGTCTGCTGTGAAGTAACCAAGGTGCAGAAGAACCCAGAGGAAGTAAACAGATTCTCTTACATAGGGAGGAGGAATGAATGGGCGAGTACCTCTAGCTGAGAAAGCTTTATCTGAGAGCTATGCCCGGCTTCGTTACAGGGACACTTCCTTGCTTATCTGGCAGCAACAGCAGCAAAAGTTGGAAGCTGTACCCCCTGGGACTTACTTGAGTAGGAGCCGGAGCATGTGGTACTCACAGTACGGAAATGAGGCCATATTAGTAAGAGACAAAAACAAACTTGAAGTCTCTCGGGATACTGGACAGTCGAAATTTTGCACTATTATGTAATTTTTATGTGAATACTTCATTCTTAAGTCCAAGCATCAAGAGAGAATTAGCCGAGATTGCATTTAACTGTCATGTTATCTATCTATTTCTCGTCATGCCAGAGGTGAATTTTTTGAACATTTAGCCCCTCCAGGGTCAACTTTTCTAACATAAAATGTTATCTGGAAGAAGAGAGGAAGCATGAAATAGATTTCTGCATGCTCAGGACAATTTAACTCTAATGGTAAATAAAACAGTAACTGGTGGCCATTGGCTACATTTGGACTATCCCATGTAAATGGAAATCTAGGATGTGCTGCTGCTTGACAGGGATTTGGTCACACCATAACCTTGCTGTTATGGCAACTGTACAGTAGCTTGTGTTCTTCTGAATAGATCCATGCAAAATGCCCATTTACAACAAAGGAAACATTGGAAGGGCATGTTCGTGGGATTTTGTTGTGTTTTGTTTTTTAAATGCAATTTCTACCTAGTAAATGAGAGTACTGATATCAGAAACAACAGAGGACTTCACCTCACATGCAGTGCTATCAATAGCTAGATAAGAGTGGAAGTTTATGCTTTGTAGTTGAATTTCAACATGTCACCATAATTCCATTAGGAATTTGGTTACCCTGGGTATTTCTAACTTGTGATTGAGATTGCTTGCGCTAACAAAGTGATGATTATGTGTATTATGTTGTGGTATGTCATACACTTAGGGCTTGTCCACCAGCACATTCACAATAGCATTAAGGAAACATCATTTTCAAACACTATGACAGACTCTGAATTTAGAGTTAAACTTTAATCATGTGAATGACTAAACAAAGTAGGTTTACAGCTTCTTTGACAATGTTTCAGTGTATCCTCTTGCATACTATGTTGCATTCCACAATCATTTACAGTATTTAATGTATTTTTGGTTTTGTGTTTTGCACACATACTGATATGGGTGGTCTAAATTGGTAGTTTCTGTAATCAGTCATTTTATATGGATTTGCTGTCTGCTGTAATTAAATTCTACTTGGCTACATAAATGTGGAAATGTGTTCTGTCACAGCTGATGTTTCTTTTCTAAATAAATCTCCCTTTTAGATGTCTGGCAAAAAACTCAAAGGACCAATAATGATTCTGTTATGTGAAGTCCATAGGCCTTGATTCTAAGGTTGGCTTTGTGATTGTTACTTTTATTCCTGATTTTCCACACACAGGAATTTTCCTAAGACACATTTAGGTTAATTTACAAGAAAAAAAAGTAGGTTCATCTCAAACGTCCACCAGATTGACAGATGCTGCCATTAAGGCCTGTCCTGATTTACAAACCCTATCTTTCTCCAGACTCTGGCAAAGCCAATTTATTATCTTTGTCATTGGCTTTTCCATGACTGTGCAGCTCAATCATGCTACTTTGTGGTAGTACAGTACTGCTTGCTTAGCTCATTGAAATCCAGATTTGTCTGCAGAACACAGTCAATATGTCCCATAGGACATTGATGGGCAGTGACAGTGACTGTTGTTATTCAGTCATTTCCTACTCTTTGTGACCCCATTTGTGGTTTTCTTGGCAAAGATACTGGAGTAGTTTGCTATTTTCTTCTCTAGTTCACTTTACAGATGAGGAAACTAGGCAAACAGGGTTAAGTGACTTACCCAGGGTCACCTAGCTAGTGAGTATCTGAGGCCAGATTTGAACTCAGAAAGATGGGTCTTCCTGACTCCAGGCCTGCCACTCTAATCCACTGTGCCACATAGCTACTGGACAGTGACTCATATGGTATTGACAAACTTGCCTCCCAGACTTCAAAATGGCCAAAGTCAACCATAGTATTACAATTTCCAGTCCCCAGAATTCCATTATAGGTGAAACATGAATGTTAAGGCTATCTGTAATTTGCTTCCTTTTGGTGCCTGACAAAACAAAGAGAGAGCTCTTCAGAGCTTTGTCAGTTTTGGCATCATGGTCTTACCCCGAACTGTATCTACTCCCTTATTTTCAGGTTAGATTAATTTTAATTCATACATCTGTCTAAAGACCTAACTTAATTTTTGAAATTGAACTTTTTTTAATAAATAAAATTTTGTTCTCTTCCCCTCCATCTACTGAGGGAGGAAAAAAACCCTCGTACCAGCATAATCAAGTAAAACTAACTCCTGCATTGGTCTTGTCTAAAAATATGAGGCAGCTAGGTGGGTAGAGTGCTGGGCCTGGAGTCAGGAAGATCTGAGTTCAAATCCAGCCTCAGACTCTAGCTGTGTGACTCTAGGCAAGTCACTTAATCTGTTATTCTTAATCCACTAGAGAAGGAAATGCAAAACACAAAACCTCATAGATAGTAATGGCATTCTATGGTCCACAGAGTTATGAAGAGTCAAATGTGACCGGACAAACAACATCTCAGAATACCTCCTCTTGTGGGGGGCAGGGAGTGAAGCTAGGCAGTGGATAGAACACTGAACTTAGAATCAGGAAGTCTTATCTTCATGAGTTCATATTTAGCCTCAGACACTTACTAGCTATATGACCCTGGGCGTGTGATGCTGGGCATCACTGAACCCTGTTTGCTTCAGCCTCCTCATCAATAGAATGAGCTGGAGGAGGAAATGGCAAACTACTCTAGTACCTTTGCCAAGAAGACCCCAAAAATGGGGTCATGGAGAGTCAGGCACGACTGAAAGACATACATCTATTTTTGTAAGGCAACTAGGTAGAGCAGTGGATGGAGCACCAGGCCTGGAGTCAGAAAGTCATTTTCCAGAGTTCAAATCCAGTCTCATACATTTGCTGTTTGACCCTGGGCAAGTCATTTAACACTGTTTGCCTCAGTTTCTTCATCTGTGAAATGAGCTGGAGAAGGAAATGGACAACCACTCTAGTGTCTTTACCAAGAAAACTCCAAATGGGGTCACAGTCAGGCACGACTAAAATGACTAAACAACAAAAAATATATCTCATTCTCTATCAGGTGTACTCATCCTCTGGAATCATGGTTAGTCATTGCACTGATCAAAGTTCTTAAGTGATGACCTGACTTGAAAAACAAATGTTACCACCAGGCACCATTTTACTGAGTTGAAAAGGGACCTTGTAGATCATTTGGTCAAAACCCACTCATTTTGCAGGAAAAAAAATGGCCCAGAGGGATCAAGTAACTTATCAATAATCATAAAGTTAGTTTATGTCAGAGCTTGAACTGGAATTTATCTGTCAAAGACTTTTTTTTAGGTCTCATATACATACATATGCCTATTATTTCCTATGTGATAATACAGTAACTTTTCTAGAAAAGCAAATGTTAATTTAATTCTGAAGATAAATGAGAATTTTTTCTTCTACTTTGTGAAGTAAAGGCAGCAATGTTTAAATAATTTTGCTTGTTACCTCAGTGTGACTGATAGGAAATATTGAAATGTGAATATGTGTGTTCACAGACATACACACACACACGTACACACACACACACACATTTTCCTTTTAACACCAAAGGTAAATATTCTATTCAAAAAGGGTTTGAAAAAAGCTTGTTTTAAAATCATCCACTGTAAGAAAGGTAAACATTGGAGTATAAGTGTAATGAAAATATAACTTTGTTATAAGGAATAAAATAGAGAAAAATTAAAATATTGCTATGAAGTGATGCAGAGTAAAGACACCAGAGCTCAAAGAACATTATACAAAACTACAATAAGGCAAAGTCAACATTCAGAGAAACCTGGGAAGACATATGAACCGATGCAGTAAAATGAACAGAACCAGAACAATTTTTACTGTAACATTCTAACATTGAAAGATTTAATATAATGACCAGCAGTGATTCCAGAGGACCTATAAGGAAGCATGCTATCTACCTCCTGAGAGATTCAAGATGCAGAATGAGACATTCTTGGCCAATATGGGAATTTGTTTTGCTTCACGATGCATATTTATTAAAAGGGTATTTTTTTCCAATGGAAGGGGGAGGTAGGAGAAAAAGGCATATTAATTGAAATAATTTTTTTCAAAGTCAACATTGAGAAGCAACAAAACTCATCAAATGCAATATTATTCCATTCTATGAAACACAAAAGACATTTCTCTTTTAACAATAAAAACTCCATCCTGAGGGAACATTCTTTGTAAAAAAAAAAAAAAAAGTTTAGGTTTTTGTGTCTCTTGTGCCAAAACAAAATGTATACTTTTTTTTTAAGAGGGGAAAAAAAATCTTCCATTAATTTCATATGGAATAGTAGAATCTGGCCTTAAGTAGAAAGATCATAAGGGTATGAACATTAATGAAGTGTCCATGTATGCACTCATGTAATTATCAACGATGTTTTTAGCATCGAATGAAATGAATAAAATGTGCTGTTAAATGTCCTTTTCTTTTGGTGTGTCATTATGGTGGGGAAGTATGGGTGCTTGGCATTTTATACCATCAGAGCCCAAGCTCTGACTGGGACAGATCCAAGTGAAAAAAAAAAAAAACTTTAGGGACCTGGCAGACAGACTTTCTGCCTATTGTTCAAGGACCATTTTAGTGAAGTTCAGAAAAAGTTCACCAGGTTGACCACAGGTTGGTGAATTTTTCAACCATAGCAGTTCATTATGACTATCTGAGAAGGCACAGAAGAATAGTGATCTGGTGAAGGAAGTATCCACACTGACAGTGTTAACAGATCCTTGAAATATTGAAGTCAAGAACACGTGAAGCTGAAGGAGACAGAATATAGGAAGACGTACACGAGAACACTTTTTTTGTTGCTGTTTATTATGAAAACAAAACAAATGCCCCAGGAGAAGGGTCCATGATTACCAGTAACATCAAAGAGTACTTGCTACCTTTTTTTTTTTAATTCAGTTGTGTTGAGGCCAGCATTGCAATAAACAAGCTAAAACTACTTTACGTTGACTCATTTTCAGTAACTGACATTTACAGGAATATACTAGAAACGGCACTAAAAAGTTTAAGAAAAGAGTTACGGTAAACTTGCATGCACATCATACAGAAAAGTAACATTTTAAATATAAAAAAGAAAAATTTTCTGGAAGTGTTATGCCAGTATCACGGAATAGCGCTAAAACTGTACGTGTCAAATCCTACATTGTTGGTTTTGTGTCTTTTTTCTCCAAACAATTGTAAAAGATGTAAATGCTGTAAAAATGTATCTTTACAGTTTAAAAGCAAGATAATGCTGCCCAGTGTGAGAAATTTTCTCTAAGTAAATTATGAATTCTATATAAGGCCTGCCCCACAGCCTCTATGGTTTTATTTATATTTTAGAATAGCTTTTATGTCCTTTTTCGACCCCTTATTAAAAAGCTTTTTTTGTAGTGCCTCCCTGACCCCATCCTGCTTTTAAAAATAATCTTTCCTCAAAAGTGAAAATTTAAAATTGGTCTACAGTTTTCAGTACTAGAATGATTCTAATTAGATAACTGTAGTCTTCCTTACCACAGAGGAAATGGTAAATAACCCACAACCTGATACTGGGTTTGTTGGGAGGTACCCTCCTCTCCTCACCAAGAAAAAAAAAAGTGAAATCAGTTTTGCAGTTTGAAACAGTGAAGACATAAAGTTTTAAAACTATAGCACCATGAAATTTCATTCTTTGTGTTGACTATGCCATGAGGCAAATACAAAGTCAACAGATTCTTTCTGGATAAAGGAGTAAATTTCATTAGCTTAGAAGAGATCCCTACCCTTTTAAAACAAATTGATAATGAAATGCTATGAGATTTTTCACCTGCACTTCAGGATTATGTAGATTTTCCCCCCATCTCATTTTTTCACACAAGTGAAACTTTTTTTCCATTCTTTGTTCATTAGTAACTATAACCACAAAAAGAGGGCTCATAAGAAGCCACTACTCAACATCTCTTGATATTTTTGCAGTATATATTTCACACTAGAATGTGTGATTTGTTCTATATTTAATAGATGTTACAAATCACACCATATTTAAGAATTATTTAGTGGTCTATTCATTCCCTCAAAGTAATAGTTTAAATATATATTTTAAATCTTTTTTATAAAATATCTTTTAAAATCAGGGCAAAATTATAAAATGGTAAACTAAAAAATTTCTAGTAGAACAGGTGAATAACAGTTTTAGTAAATTGGCTCAGTACTCCCTTTTGCATGTTAATTAAAAAAAACCATCAAAACAAACCAAAAACCCAGTAGTTAGCAACTGATATTCCTTCATCCATTTCCTCATCACAGTATGACAAAACTTAAGGGTAGATGAGAGAGTCAGAGGAGATTTTTTTTAAAGTTTTCCTTACTAAATTAGTATATCATATGAAGATTCCACTGAAATGCTGGTGGATATAACCTAGAGATCCATGAAAAAATAGTCCAACCACTGAATGGCATATGTCAGTTCCCATCTAATACTTAATTCATTGATTTTATTACATGAAACTAAGTGAAAATTAGGCTTTGATACAGTAACTTTTGCACTAAAGTGAAAACACTGGAGCTGGGAGCCAAAGTGGGGCCTAAAGAGGCATGTGAAGGGGTCCAGAGACAACCTTCTCCAAACACAGAGAAGCACTGG